TGGATAAGGGAGAGAGGAGGAAGCAGAGTGAGAGTCAAAGCTACCCCAGTTGGAACACAAGGATTGAAAACAGAGAAGAGATGCTTCTTCAAAGAGAAGCCAGGCAAGCAAAGAGCTAAGTCCACTACGTCTGCCACCGAGCTATATACACACTTACCAGGACTGTCAGTACCAGTTGTCGTCAGGTTGATTCTAACTCATGGCAACCCCATGTGTGTCAGAGTAGGATACCCCATAGAGGTTTTGATGCCTGGTTTTTAGAAGTAGATTACCAAGTCTTGCTTCTAAGGCACCTCTGACTGGACTCAAACTTCCAAACTTTTGGTTAGCCGCAGAGCACACTGACTGTTCAGACACCCCAGGGCCTCCTATACATACTTAGTTTGCCTTAAGAGAAAGCCATGTCAACTTCCAGCCACCCTCACTGTCTTCCAGGTGATTGTTCAGCGGACCTTGGCGGCCAAGAATCTGTCCCACGCCAAAGGAGGCTCTCTGATGGCCGCCTACCTGAAGGTGTTGCCCCTTTTCATGATGGTGTTCCCTGGAATGGTCAGCCGTATCCTCTTCCCAGGTGAGGAGACAATTGGGAGGAGAAATCATTTGTGAGTCTCAATCCCTGTCTGTGACAGCGTTTATGTCTTAGACACTGTGAAGTCTTCTAAACATATTACTACCTCACTCAAGAGAATGTGACTGGAGTCCCATCATAGTGATGGTTAGACTTGAGGTGTCTCCATCCAGTCATCTCCTAACTCTATGCTGTTTCCCAATATTGGTTCAGTGGGCAAGTCCTTTAGATGTCCCAGGCTAAACTAAATAGGGATTCATTTGGGACCCTGCCTCAACTATATATTTTCTGAACCCACAAATGAGGCTCAAATCCTATATTTCCAGATATCAGTTCTCTGAGTATGTGAGCTCAGTAATTTGATAACTTTGCCCTGATGGAACCTCCTGTCTTTGGGCATTTTTCTTAAAAATCAGGAGATATCAAGGCCCCGAAGGTATTTGTCTTGGCTTTTTTTAAGGTGGTAAAGAGATATGGTTTGCATTGTAGGGTAAACAGAACTGAGGAGGGGGCTACATTATGGGGGTCACTGTGGTATCAGGAACTGGAGGTCTATACAGAAAAAAGCTCCCCTCTTTCCCCTTCAAACAACTTTGGAACTTTCTTCCAAATCCATCGATGTTGTTATTATCTGAAAACCAAAAACTCAAAACCAAACCCACTGCCATAGAATCCTATCCAACTCATAGGAACCCCTCCTTGGGTTTCTGAGGCGGTATCACTACAGAAGTAGATTGCCCATCCTTCCTTCTGCAGAGTGGATGGTGGGTTTGAACTGCTAGCCTTCTGGTTAGCAGTCAAGTGCCTTAGGCACTACACCACCAGAGCTCCTAGGGGAGGGTGAAACAGAAAGTTACCTCCTCTATTCCTTATTCTACACAATGTCACACAGAAGTTAGTTGGCCTAGAATTTTTGTCAAAAGAATTTAGGGCCCTTAATATCATGCTTGGTTGAGTGGAGGGTCAACGAAAAAGGGGAAGGCCCTCAGTGAGATGGATTGACACAGTGGCTACAGCGCTGGGCTCAGGGAAACCAGCTACCATGTCATGAGGACACTCAAACAGCTTGTGGAGAGGCCTAGCTGAGGAGGAGTTGAGGCCTCCTGCCAATAGCCAGCACCTACTTCCCAGGCATGTGAGTGAGCCACCTTGGAGGTGGATACTTTAGCTCTAAACAGCGTTCAGATAACTGGAATTTCATGAGATCCCAGGCCAGAAACACCCCTCCAAGCTGCTTCTGAAATATTCACAGAAACTGTGAAGAAAAAAAAGGTTCATTGTTCTAAGCCACTAAGTGTTGGGGTGATTAGTTATACAGCAATAGATAGCTAATACATGAATATTATCATTAACACCATTTTACACATGGAGACATAGAGAAGTGAGAAAAACTTGGAACACAGGCAGCTGACTCAAGAGTCCAGCTTCTCAAGTATGTTGGTTCTTAAGCAGCCACTCCATACTGTTCATTCACATGCACTCAGAACCAACAGAAATCCTTAATTCCTCTTCACATGAACAACATTTAAACCATCTCTAAAGTTTTATAGGAGGGAGCTCTGGTAGCGTAGTGCCTAAGGCACTTGACTGCTAACCAGAAGGCTGACAGTTGAAACCCACCAGCCACTCCTCGGAAGGAAGATGGGGCAATCTACTTCTGTAGTGATACAGCCTCAGAAACCCAAGGGGGGTCGCTATGAGTTGGGTCAGACTCAACAGCACATAACAACAACAACATAAAGTTTTATAAATAAATTGGTGTTAATAAATAAATAAATAAATAAATTGGTGTTTTTAACCTAAAAAAAGAGAGAGAGAAAGAATTTAGGGCCCTTAGAATTAGAAGGAAAGCATTGGGAGAAGGATAATAGGGGAGCTATCCATGTTGGTCAACCCTGGGGCATGCTCCTGCAGCCTAAATGGGATGAACCAATGCTGTTTACAGCGTGGTCTCCAGTCCAGCAGCGTCTTTGTTGCCTGGGAAACTATTACAGATACAAACTTCCAGGCCCCACCCAAGACCTACTGAGTCTGAATCTCTAGGGGTGGGAGCCTGATGCATGCTGCGGTTTGAGGACCCTGGCTTACAGGGCCACGCTCTGGACCAGGCCTCTCTACCATCCCTTCTCTGCTTTCTCTCCGCCTCAGCTCCACCAGTCCTTGGGGAATCTTTAAATAGATCTGGAAGTGCCTATAATGATGATGATTCTGGGCTTTTACGAATCTGGACAAATCCCTTTTCTACTCAGTCCATTTGAGAAATGGCACGCATTTAAAAAAATTTACTATGCTAATAAATACATAATAATATATTTGGAGTTTTAACTATGCTTAAGTGTAAAATTCTGTGACATTAAGAATTTTCACATTGTGCAACCATCACCACTACTCATTTCCAAAACTTTTCATCACTCCAGACTGAAGCGTTGTGCCCATTAAGTGTAACTCCCCATTCCCAACCCCTCCACAGCCACTAATCTACTTTCTCTATGTATTTCTCTATTCTAGATACTTCATGCAAGTGGGTCATATGATTTTTGTCCTTTTGTGTCTAACTTATTTCTCTCAGCATATAATGTTTTCATGGTTCATCCATCCATATTGTAACATGTATTACAACTTCATTCTCTTTAAGGTCGAACAATATTCCATTGCATGTATATACCACATACTGTTTATCCATCTGGGTTGTTTAGGCTTTTTGGTTGTTGTGAATAACGCTATAGTGAAGGACGTAAGTGTATTTAAGCACACAATGAAGCTGCAGGTATCTGTCTGAGTCCCTGCTTTCAGGTCTTTTGGGTACATACCCAGGAATGGACTTCCTGGATCATATGGTAGTTCTAAAGGAGCTCTGGTGGCATAGTGGCTAAGGCATTTGGCTGCTAACCAGAAGACTGGTGGCTCAAACCCACCAGATGCTCCAGGGGAGGCAGATAAGACATCTACTTCCGTAAAGATTTACAGCCTCGGAAACCCAACGGGGTCACTATGAGTTGGGATCGACTCGATAGCAGTGGTTCGGTTTGGGGTTTTTTAGGGTAGTTCTATGTTCAACTTCTTCAGAAACTGCCAAACTGTTTTCCACAACAGCTTCACCTTTTCATATTCTTATCGGCAATAGACAAGTGTTCCAATTTCTCCACATTCTCACCAACACTTGTTAATTTCTTGTTTTTATTTTTCAATACTCTGGTAGCACAGTGCCTAAGGCAACTGACTGCTAATCAGAAGGCTGGTGGTTCAAACCCACCAGCCACTCCTCAGAAGGAAGGTTGGGCAATCTACTTCCGTAGTGATACCGCCTTGGAAACCCAAGGAAGGGTCGTTATGAGTTGGGTCTGACTCAGCGGCACATAACAACAAAAACAATAGCTAGCCTAGTAGGTGTGAAGTAGTACCTTCTTGTTGTGATACTGCCTCGGAAACCCAAGGAGGGGTCGCTATGAGTCGGGGCGGACTCGACGGCACATAACAACAACAACAACAAAAATGTCTAAGGAGGAGCTCTGGTAGCATAGTGCCTAAGGCACTTAAGTGCTAACCAGAAGGCTGGCGGTTCCAACCCACCAGTCACTCCTCGGAAGGAAGATGGGGCAATCTACTTCCGTAGTGATACTGCCTCGGAAACCCAAGGAGTGGTCGCTATGAGTCAGTTCTGACTCGATGGCACATAACAACAACAACAACAACAATGTCTAAGGAGTCCTGGTGATGCAACAGTTAAGCACTCAGCTGCTAACCAAAAGGTTGACAGTTTGAACCCATTCAGCTGCTCTCAGGAGAAAGACCCAGCCACCTGCTTCCATAAAGGTGACAGCCAAGAAACCCTTCGAAGCAGTCTAGTCTGTCACACGGGATTGCAATGAGTCGGAATTGACTCAGTGGCACCCAAAACCAATGACACTATCTAATGGTACTGAGTATCCATTCATATGCTTGTTGGCCATTGGTATAATTTTGGGGAAGTGTCTTATTCGAGTATTTTTCTCACTTTTAATTGGGTTGCTTGACTTTTTATTATCGAGTTGTAGGATTTGCATGCATTTTTAAAAGGCAGAGAATAGAAGGGCTGTGTATGCACAGGGAGACAGAGTGGGGGGCAGGAGTGCATAGAGGGAAGGACACAGGGAAGAGGTAACTACCCTTAAAAAAGAAAAAAAAGTCTAGAAATACACTACTTACGAAGCCAGTCTTCTCCACCTGAGCTTTGAAATAAGGCTCTGAGTCCTGACTTTAATACTTACTAGTTCAGGAAAGCTATCTAACCTCTGTGGGCCTCAGTGTTCTACTCTTAGGATGGGTATAACAATTCTTCCCCCACAGAGCCATTATGAGAATTGAATGAGAAGGTGCATGCACAGTGTTCATTGTAGTATCTGAGTCATGATAAACCTTCACCAGATGTTGGCCTTGTGGAGGAAAGAGGTTTTGGGCTATGTTTGGATTTGACTCTGCTAAAAACATCCTTCCTTTCAAGCTTCAGAAGTCCTGAAGCTTTCTGAGAGGAGAACTCACTCCGTATAGAAAATGGTTGATTAATTGACAAGACAGGTGAGCAGATGTTACTGAATGGTGGGTTAATTATCACAAAGCTAGAACTTGTTGAGACAATTCATTTCCCTATGACCAATATATCCTTTAGGCTGGATCTGTAAATTGTCTGCAGGACACATGCTTTATAAGCTTTGTGTCCATCACATGTTTCATGGTTGAAGGTTGCATTCCTAGAAGGTTAAACAAAAACTTTGTTGTAAACAATTAAGTATCTCAGAAAGGTTTCTGCTCCTTTTCAGTACACCTTGAAGAGAGGAGCTCTTGGAGATCAAGAGGCAGAGCCCATATAGACTTGAACGTAAATAAGACCTTTGTCCTACTTGGGAGGATTTTTGCAGTACTCTGGCCACAGGAATGTCAATGTTTTCTAAGCTTCTTCAGAAGAGTAATAAAAAGCCAAGAACTTCGACCTCTCAAAAGCATTTTTCTCAAGATCTCTCCTTCTCCCTACTTCTCAGCAAATATCATTTTGGTCTGCAGTGTTAAATTTTCTCAAAGCTGAACCAGAGCTCAACTGGGGGGTATCTACTTTATTCCATAGCAATTGGTTATTATTAACCAATTGGTTATTATTAATTGGTTATTTTTATTGATTGATTAATATTATTAACTGTGGTCACAGCACCCAAATCGTCTCCCATTGGTGAGTGTTAGTGGAGGAAGTCCTCAGTCTCAAGAAGACATAGCAGTGAGTAGCAGAGCTTTTCAAGGACCAGTTAGTCCTTGAGTTTCCCAATGGATCAAAGAGCCTGGGCAATTTTCATCTCTTAGGTCTTCTGACACATTAAAAAAGAAAATGAAGACAATATTGGATTGTTAAATTGTGGTGTGCATGTTTACTTTCATCAAATTAAGATTTAACACAAAATGAGGAGGAAAGACCAAAGCCTTTGGACTGAGTTGAGGGAGGGTCTGGGAGTTATTCCTAGATCTAGTCGGCAAGAGAGATTTGTGAGACAATACAGGGTTCAGCTGGGCTGGGCTACCAGAGGGATGAATGGTGTTGGATACATATTGAGATGGGGGCAAGGAGCATTAGTTAGACCAGATGTGAGACGCTCAGGAAGACAGAAGGTGACAAGAAGTCATCATTGAGACACAGGTCCCAAATCACTAAGACAACACACAGAACCCAGAGGGTCCTATGGTTGGACGCACTTTGGGCTGAGGAACCCAAGCAAGTTGCTCTCCTATCCCCAGTAGTTAGGTTCTGGATGGGGTCACTGCCCAACTCTCTAAAGACGGAAAGGCATCCACTCTTGGGAGTTCTTTCCTGAAAATTTGGGCCAGGAGTTGAGATCTGGGTTCTGGGTTCCAGCTCTGACATGACCTTGTTGTTGTTGTTGTTATGTGCCGTCGAGTCGGCCCCGACTCATAGCGACCCCTCCTTGGGTTTCCGAGGCAGTATCACTACGGAAGTAGGATTGCCCAACCTTCCTTCCGAGGAGTGGCTGGTGGGTTTGAACCGCCAGCCTTCTGGTTAGCAGTCAAGTGCTTTAGCCACTATGCTACCAGAGCTCCTGACATGACCTTAGTGGTTGCTTATAATCAGGTCACTTCCCCTTGCTTTCCTCTGTGAAAAGGCAAAAGTAATCTCTGCCTTCCTCATAGGGTTGTGAAGACGTTGTTAGCAATGATGCGATAGATAGTCCCTCCCAACAGAAGGGTATTGAGCACCTTCTCCGTGCCACACAAGACTACGTACAATTTATTCTCTCCTTTTCTGTTGCCTAAGCAGGAAGTCTACATTTGTCTGCTTGGAATGTGCTTATCACAATAAAAGCAGGATGAGGAGCTAGAAATGTTGGGGAGACTAGATGAATGGCATTAGTGATACCAGAGAGCTGTTAAGGAGAGAAAAGAATTGACACAAAAATGCAGGAAGAGGAGGGGAAAGAAATTCAGAATTAGTACGGTTGGGTTTTTGTGAATATAAAATGAGAATATCCATTGAAATTGTGTGAGCTATTAAGAAGGAGATTGGGAAAGAAAGAATTTTTTAAAAATTGTCACATATCAAGCAACAGGATCCTCCCTTTGCACCTCTGAGGAACTTTTGTGAAGATATGAACTGCTCTCAGTACCTTTTATATGGTGGTGGTGGGAGGGGGACAGAGGCTAATGCAGGAGATTGACCACTAGATGGCTCAGGGTTACTTGGGTAATAATAATAATAATAATAATAATAAAACAAACCCATTAAGATCAAGTTGATTCTGACTCATAACAACCCTATAGGCAGAGTAGAACTCCCCTATAGGGTTTCCAAGGCTACAATCTTTACAGAAAAAAAGCCCAAACCAAACTCACTGCCATGGAATCAATTCCAACTCACAGCACCCCCAGAGGACAGCAATGGGTCAGAACTGAGCCCATAGGATTTCCAAGGCTGCAAATTTTTATGGAAGCAGACTACCTCATCTTTCTCCTCCGGAGCAGCTGGTGGATATGAACCACTGACCTTTTGTTTAACAGCCTGATGCTTTAAGCACTACATCACTTGTAGTGTATTTAGCACTTTCTAGGTTCTCAGATCTATACTAAGTCAACCATCACTACAATCTTATAAAATAGAGTTGTGTCGTTATTTCAGTTTTAGAGAGATGGGAAATAAGTAACAAGATCACAGTTTATACAGACAAAGTTCTTCTTTTTATCTCTCATTGAGTTTTAATTTAAATACAATAAATAGGAAACAAATCTTAAGCATGTAGATGACCACACCTGCCTAACCATCACCTAGACCAAGAGAGAAAATATTCCTGTCATTACAGGAAGTTCTCTTGCATGGCACATGTAAATCTTCCAGCCAGTATTCTCCCCACCAGAGGCTACCACTGTTGTAACTCCTATAGCTACAGAAGTTTTGTCTGTTCTTGAACTTCATATAAGTGGAATCACTCAGTAAGCACTCTTTATTCTTACCCACTATGCTGTACTGCCTCCTATAGTATAAAAGGGTGCTGGGCAGGTGCTGGGTAAGGGATCCACTGCAAGGGTCCCACTCTCCAGGAAGGGCAAAGCTCGGTGTCTGGAGTCCTTGTCAATCACCCCCCTATCTCCTGGTGCTGACCTGTCAGGTCCTGTTCAGCTCGACCTGGGGCTCCGAGGATCTGTCTTCTCAACTCTGGAACTCTGTTTCCTTCACAGACCAAGTGGCTTGTGCAGATCCAGAAATTTGCCAGAAGGTCTGTAGCAACCCCTCTGGCTGCTCTGACATTGCCTATCCCAAACTTGTGCTGGAACTGCTGCCCACAGGTGATGTCCCCTCTCACACCTACATCGAGGCCCCTAGTGCACCCAGAAAGGATTTGGCTGGACTCTGACCTGAGGGAGGGGTGAGATGGGGGACTGTTGGGAAGGTATGGGCGCTGGGCTGAAAGGCTGAGCCCCGGAGCCAAAACCCCCAAACACAGCCCGGGCCCTGGGTACCCAGTTAGCTCTGCCCAGCCCACCTCTCTGAGGTTCTACTGACTGCTCCCAGTCCTTCTGCTCTGCCTCCTCAGAGCTGAACCCATTGAGATCAGCTGCTGTGGGACCTGGGGTAATGGGGTCATGAATGAAGACACCAGCTGTTGATAGCTGAGGCCCATAGACCTCCCTTCTGCCCCTAGGGCTCCGTGGGCTCATGATGGCTGTGATGGTGGCGGCGCTCATGTCCTCCCTCACCTCCATCTTTAACAGTGCCAGCATCATCTTCACCATGGACCTCTGGAATCATATCCGACCTCGGGCAACTGAGAAGGAGCTCATGATTGTGGGCAGGTAAGGCCTTGGTGGGAAGGTCAGGTGGGGATTGAAAAGGCCAGATATCCAGTAAGGAAAGAGTTGAACCCACCAAGAGGCAAAGTCCAGCCAGTAATTTCTCCAGGTGGGCTGAGCCTTCTCAGATAGCAAAAATGAGGAATGCTAACACTCCATGTATGAGTAAGTCATTCATTCACTCACAAGATGTCCAAGACGTTCAATGACCACCTACTATAAGCCAGCTTCTGAGCACAGAACTGTAGGGAAAAAGAAAAATAAGACTCTATTCTTGCCTGCACAGAACTAGAAGAGAGGGATAAGCAAACAGGTGATTATAACCCTAATGAGTGTTATTATATGAGAGTCAGGAGACCAAGTTATTCAGAGGAGGAGCAACCACTCGGACTGGGATCTGAGGAACACAGTCAGGTAAAAGGAAGAAGGGGTTTCAGGATTTCCATACAAAGGCTTCTGCAATGTTCTGGAGTCAAATAGGTGAAACAGAAATGAGTGGCATGTAAATAGTATGTAAATTATATGCAAATATATTGTTAAATGCAAATAACCACTGGAAAACAGACACCCTAAGGACTGTCTCAGCCTTGAATTTGGGAAAGAGTTCTGGGATAGACCACCAAAGCACAATCCACAAAAGGGGGAAAAAAAGTCACATCTTGGACTTCATCAAAATTTAAAACTTTTGCACCAAAAAAGACACCATTAGGAAAATGAAAAGACAAAAATAGTTGAAAACTATATATCTGATCTACCACTCGTCTGTCAGTTTGTCACACTGTGGGGGCTTGTGGGTTGCTGTGAGGCTGGAAGCTATGCCACCGGTTTTTCAAATACCGGCAGGGTCACCCATGAGGGACAGGTTTCGACAGCTTCCAGACTAAGCCAGACTAGGAAGGAGGGCCTGGTGACCTACTTCTGAAAAAATCGGCCAGTGAACATCTTATGATCAGCAGTGGAACACTGTCTGATACAGCGCCAGAAGATGAGCCCTCGGGTCGGAAGGCACTCAAAATACAACCGGGGAAGAGCTGCCTCCTCAAACGAGAGTCAACCTTAAAAACATGGATGGAGTAAAGCTTTCAGGACCTTCATTTGCTGATGTGGCACAACTCAAAATGGGAAGAAATGGCTGCAAACATCCATTAAAAATCAAAACACGGAATGTATGAAGTATGACTCCAAGAAAATTGGAAGTCATCAAAAAATGAAGTTAAATGCATAAAGATTGATATCCTAGGCATTAGTGAACTAGTATAGGCCATTCTGAATTGAAAAATCATATGGTCTACTACACTGGGAATGACAAATTGAAGAGGAATGGCATCACATTCATCATCAAAAAGAGCATTTAAGATCTATTCTGAAGTACAACGCTGTCAGTTGTATAGGGTCATCTCCATATGCCTACCAGGAAGACCAGTTAAAATGACTATTATTCAAATTTATTTACCAACCACTAATGCCAAAGATAAAGAAATGGAACATTTTGACCAACTTCTGCAGTCTGCTCTGATCAAATATGCAATCAACATGCATCGATAATTACTGGTGATTGGAATGTAAAAGTTGGAAACAAAGAAGGATCAGTTAGAAAACACGGCATTGGTGATAGAAATGACACTGGAGATAGCATGATAGAATTATACAAGACCAACAACTTACTCATTGCAAATACCTTTTTTCAACAACATAAACAGTGACTATACATGTGGACCTCAGTGAATGGT